AATATATATATATATATATATATATATATTTATATATATATATATTATATTTTATTTGGGAATTATTATTATATATTATACATTGCATATAATTAAGAAATTCTGAAGGATATAAACATATTTAGGCTAATTTGATAATATTTTATTTTCTTTTATTAATCGACATTCAAATTAACATTATGAATAATCGAAAGCACCATTTTTTATTATATTATTATATATCAAATTAGCTTGGAAATATTATTTCATTATTTACTTCAATTGCTGTGTAACCAAGTTTCTAATTTTTTGATTAACTTTTTAGCATTTTTTTAAAATATGTAAGAATTTAAAATAAACAAATTATTTTATTTAGTGTTTTAAATAAATATAATTTAAAGCGTATATATAAAAAAAATTAATTTTTATTTTTATTTTAGAAATTTTTATTTTGTTTATAAAATTAATAATATAGTTATAATTTAAAGTAAATATTTAAAACATATTAATTTTAATTTTATATTTGATAAATTTTATATTTTTATATATTTTATTATATAGTTATAATTTAAAGTAAATATTTAAAACATATTAATTTTAATGCTTTATTTTATAATTATTTTCTTAATATTAAATTATAATACTAATTAAAAAATAATTAATATATAAAAAAATAAAATATATCATTACTAAATTTTTTATAAATTATAAAAAAAAATATAAGTACATTATTAAATTTATGCAATTTTTTTTTTATTATTATTAATTTACTTTCTATTATTTTCATTATTTATTCTACTTATATATTTCTCTTTATAATTTATTTTATATATACTTAAAATTTTCATTATTATTATATATAATGTCTAAATAAATAAAATATTTAATTTAAATAAATTAATGTTTTATTTTATTATATATTGTATTTATTTTATTAATAATATTTTTTAAACATATTTGTATTAAATTATATATTTTAAAAAATATATTCTGATTTTTTATAAATAGCTAAAAAACCTTAATAAGTTTTTTAAATATTAATTTTTTTTTTTTTATTATTATCTTTAATAACAAAATATTTGAATAAATTAAATAAATATTGCATTTTTATCATAATAATCAATTTTTATTTTTTTTTGGTTTTTTTTTTTTTTAAAAAAAAAAATACTTTATTCTTGTGATATATTTTCTTTGTAATCAAAATTAATATCAAATCATTAAACTTTTCCTTAATTTTTCGGAACCCAAATCTTTTATATTTATTTAATAAAATACTAAAATTAATTTTTACTTATTAATTTCCTTTTTATTTTTTTTTTTTATTGATCTTATTTATCTTTTTATTTCTATTCTAAAAATTCAACTATTCGGCTTTTTATTTTTTCAGTTTTTTTCGATTTATCTTCAACTATTTTTTTTTTTTATTTTTTGTTAACAAATAAATAAAATAAAAAATTAACCAGCTTCATCTCCTTTTCTTTCAATTAATGATAAATCTACTTTTTATTCAATTTATTTTTATTATTAAATTAAATATTCTTAAAATTATGCATAGATATCACCTATTTATATAAAAATAAATTATTTTATATTTTATTAAAAAAAAAAACTCTATTTGTAATCTGATTTTGGTTAAAAAGAAGTATTTGAATTAACAGGAAGAACATCATATATTGATTTTTCTAAAGTGGCTTCATATATAACATTTGCTATTTTAATTTGGAAAAATATTAAAATAAATATATCTATAATTTAAATGTAAAATATAATATACTTTGCTTTTCTAAAAATTTTTATTTATAATTATTCATAAAATTATTAAAGTTTTCTTAGTTTCCAAAATATAAATATGCCCTTGATAATTAAAAGCTGCCTTCTCTATTTATTTTAAATAAATTTATTATATGATAAAATAATTAAATATACTTTACAAATCCTTAAACATAATATTTATAGATAATAGAATCTTAATAATTTTTTATTGTAGAATAAAAATCGTTTTCTTATAAATTTGGTGGAAGCTTTCTAACTACTACCTTAAAATTTTATTATTAAATATTATTGTTCATTAAATATAAGAAAAATTCTTTTTTTTGTTTTTTGTTTTTTGTTAAATATATATAATTTAATATTTAAAAAGATTAGATAATATAATAATTATCTTTTATATTAATAAATATTATTTTAAGAAATGTATATTAACTATATAATTATTTTTTAATTTTTTATGAATTTTTATATATAATTTATTTATTGTTATAATTAATCTTTATTAATAGAAAATGTAGATAATTTAATGGTAAATATATATAAATATATATAAATATTTATTAATAATGTATGATAAAAAAAGATATTCTGAATAATTAATTTTAAACTTAAAAATATATATATATATATATATATATAAAATAGATAATTTGTAAATAAATATATTATATTAAATTCGCATAAAAAATAATACAATAAAAATGAATAAAAATAATTTTTTCTGAATGCAAAAATAATATAGACTTGTTAAAAAAATTAATGTTTAAAGTAAAAAACATAAATATTGATATAAAAAGAAATTGTGAATAATTTAAAGAATATATATATATAGAAATATATGTATATATATTTTTATAATTAAAACTATAATTAAATTATAAATTTATATAATCTTTTATTACTATTTTTTATATATATTTAATTATAAATAAGTATTCATGTGATATTAAACATATATTTTTTATGTTTATTTTACCTTTTATCAATTTTTTTTTTTATATAATTTATTTATAAATGGAAAATAGTAAATTTATAATTTTCTTTATAAAAAAATTAATTTATAAACTTTATAAATATATTATCATATTTATAAAAGTTATTTAATTATTTTGAAACATTAATTTTATTTTTGATTATTGATATTTTTATAATAAGAGAATATTTAACTAAAATATTCTCTTATTAAAAATAAAAAATATATGCCATGTTTTTTATTTTTTTATATTTTTTAAAAATATACATGATTTATAGTATTTTTTATTTGGTATTGTTTTATTAATTCTAATAAGATATTTATTAATGATTTGATTTAAATTAAGAAAATAATATTACTTAAAAAATTTATTTTTATTTTAAATATAAGGAGAATAAAATTAAAGAAAAGCTAAATAGACATTATAAATAAAATAAATCTAAATATATATTTAAAATATTATTTAATTCAATATTTTTGTTTGTTTAATTATTAATTCATTATAAAAATAAATAAATATATTTAAATAAATAAAAAAAAAAATATTAACATTAAAAATAAAATAATCAAATTCTTTATTTTGTTTTTTATCTTAATATAAAAATAATAATAATTTTTAGTAAAAATAAATAAATAAAAAAAAAACAATATTAAAATATGAAAAACATTTTAAAAAACTAATCAAGTATTAATATAAAAATGAATAATATTAAATAAAATAAAAAGTTAACTTATTATTTTTTGATAACATTGAGCATTCATATTCTAAAATAATATAAAGTAAATGCGAACTAAATAAATGTAAGTATAAAAAAAAAAAGTCTAATTAATAACTTCATATATATAAATAATAATAAAAATATTAATACCATATTATAACATTTTCTATTAATAAAAAATAAAAAGAACATATAGCTAAAAAATTTTATGATGAAATTGAATTCAATTGTCCGGTTAAAATACACTTAATTAGAATTGTAAAGCCTGGATAAGATATTCACTAATAATTTAAATAATTAAAAACAGTTACAGATAAGGATAGATAATTTAAAAGCCTTGAAATTTATTATAAAGAAATTCAATAGATTAATTCTCGATATAGATTAATTTTAAATTAAAAAATAATTTCAGAAAGCAAAACTTTAAATTATGATGTTTTAATTCCTATATAAAATGGAGTAATTTTTTATTTTCAATAAAATAAAATAAAATGTAATTTATTTATAATTTTCTTTAAAAAATAAAATAGGTTTGTACAAACAATCTTATTTTTAGAGGAGAATATGTTAAATTAACTGTATGTATATATGGAAATATAATTAATAATTAGTAAATTAAAGATTTATGCCCTCTTTATAAAAGAAATATTGATTTAAATGAATTAAGGTAATATTAATATATATATAATAAAGACTAATAGACAAAATAAAATAAAAATATATATTTTCTGTATTAATCATTTTTTTTCTTATATTTTTTTATTTTAAATAAAAAAAAAATCTTTTTTTAAAGATTTTTTTTTTTTTTTTTAAAAAAAAATAAAAAAAATTATATTTTTATTTAAAATTATATATAATTAATTTATAAAAAATAGTGAAAAAATAATAAAAAATATAAAGAAAAACAATATAAAGAAGAAATTTTAAGTAAAATATAATAAACTAATATCCCCTAAATAATAGCATAGGAACAAATTATAAATAACATATAAAAAAATAACAATATTACCATAAACTATGATTAAATTTAATAAATATAATAAAAATAATAGTCTAATTAAAGCCAGGAAGAACTTTTACAATAAATAACATAATTATTAAATGAAATAAGTTAATAACCTGTATAAACAGAAGAGGAATAATAGTAATCAATAAATATAATTAAATAAAAAGTTGAATAACTAACCCAAAAATTATAAAGAGTAAATTATATTTTTAATAATAGATATATATCTATATATATATATATATATATATATTTATATCATTTTTTTAATTTTTTTTCAAAAATAAAAGTTTGGAAAAATAAAATAAACAAAGATAAATGAGCAAATATATTTTTAAGAAAACGATAACTAATAAAATATACCTTCAGAAATTGTCTAAATTTGCCTTTTTTGTTTAAATGAGCCTTTTTCAAGTGATTTTTTGAAAGGATTAGAGTTATCTTTAGAAATATTAAATAATTTTACAGTTTAAGCTTTAGAATTTATATAATTAGATGGTATAAAAAAAGTTCTATAGATTTTTTTAGAAACTTAAGATTAAAACAATTTCACTTTTTCACTTACAAAGTTAAAAGCTTTAGAAGTTATAAATGCGGCTTTATATTATTAAAAAGGATCTGATTATTTTATTAATTTTTAAATATAGGAAATTAGTTAGAAATAAAGAAATTAACTCGAACAGATTAATAATGTTGAAAATACTGAAAAAATGAAAGAAGAAATTAATATTGAAAAATCAGAAAAAAGCCAAAAAGAAAAAAAAGTTTTTTTTTAAAAAAAATTTAAAAAAAAAGAAAAAAAAAAAAGAAAAAAAAAAAAAAAAAGGAAAGTAAAAGTCGTTCTCGTTCGAAAAAAAAAAGTTCTAAAAAAAGCGAAAATAAAAAAAGTGAAAAAAAAGAAACATCTTCGAAAAAAACAAGAGATAAATCCAAAGACAGAAAAAAATCGAAAAAATCGAAAAAATCATATAAATATTCGCGTTCATATTCTTCTTCTAGAAGTGATTCTTGTTCTAAATCAAGGCGAAAAAGTGAGAATAAAAAAAGTATTGGAAAATCAAAAAAAAGACATTATAGATCTAAGAGTAATAATAATAATTTGAATGATAAGTCAAACAAAAATAATGAATAAATAAATAATAATAATAATAATGTAAAAGATATACTTTAAGATTTCTAAATACCTTTAATATTATAAAAAGGGTATTAGATTATTTTACATGAAATGGCTAAAAATTCTTAAAATGAACCGATTTTGAGAGCTTGTAAGTTGGTTTTACATAAATCTTTGTTATTTTATTATTTAAATTGTATATAAAAAACTGTCGAAAATAAACTTTTTAAGATATAGTATTAGGTTAAAGAGAAGAATATTTTCTATGAGAAATTTATGTTAGAAATAAATACTATAGGAGTTGATATTAGTGAATATTTAAAATAGTTTTTGGATGTTTTTAAAGAATAAACAAAAATTAATGCCTAAATTTTATCAGGTATGTCTTTTTAGGAAATATATTAAAGATATTAATAATCAGAAAAAAGACATAATATACATAAATTTTCATCTCTTAAAGAAATTCTAAAAAATGATATATATTCTTTAAATAGTTAAACAATCGAGTTTTTAATTTAAATGAAATTTTTTCCTTTACTTTTAATTTTATTAGTATATTTTTTTAAAACACACTTATATATATATATATATATTAATAGAGTAATCCATATTTGAAAAAAAGTAAAGTTTTTTGTTAGATTTTTATAAATTGTTATAATTTAATTGTCCATTTGCTTTAATGTTAAGGAAATGCTTAATTTTTTATTAAAAATAAATTTTATTTATAAACTTTTATAGAGCTTTTGTAACATTTATAGGGCCCTTTATTAGATTATTAAACTAAGTTTAAAATTTAATAAAATTTTTTAAATGAGAATAATTTTTCTACCCATTTTAGAAGCGATTCTTAATTTAATTATACCCTAATTGTTAATAATGACTCATTTTTATAATAAAACAAAAACTAATTATAATCTTAGTAATAATACGATGATATATAAATAGGAGTCTTCTGTAAATAAATAGAGATTGTAGTTAAATATTATGTTTAGTTATTAAATTTATTCAATAATTTATTCCCGAAAATGAATTACTAATAAAATGATCTTGAATTAATTTGCATTTTAAGTAATATTTCATTATTAAGTAATAAATCAAATCTTTCATAAACTGCTTTTAATTTGTTTCTTTATAACTAATTTCCAATGGATGTTTTATTGTATTTTTTTAATATTTAAGAAACTTAAAATTTAATTGATAAATAAGTTGAAATTAGTATTATTTCTGAAATTTTTTTTAATTGTAAAAATTTTCATTTTTTTTATTTTAATAATATATTTACATTTATATATGTATAATATTTAAAAAGGTTTTTTATTTGATAATGGTGTTTTAGGAATTTTTTATTCTTAATAAATATTTAAAAGTTTAATAAAAATAAATTAAATATTAGGGGAAAATTAATAAAGTTTTGAAGAAAATAGAGAATTAAGAGTATATTTTATTAAGTTTTATTTAAAATTAAAAATATATATAGAAAAATGCAAGATTATTAATTAATTATATGTCACCAATGGAAATATTTATGGACGAAAATTCAAAAGGGTTAGTTACGTTGATTAATGAATTGAAATTAAAAACTTCTTTTAACGAAGAAGAAGAAAAAATTTTAAAATTATAAATTGATAGATTAAATGAAAAATGTATTTTATGACTATTTTTTAAATTTATTATAATAATACATAATATATATATATATATATATATATATATAAATTAATATATAAATTTATAAATATATTAACATAATTATTTTTAAATATTTAACTAATATTAAAATAGAAAATAATATCAAAGAAATTACTGAATGTTATTTTAAATATGGAAATTTAGAAGATCCTGATTAAAATCTTATATTTGTAGAAGTTTCATTGAAGATATTCAATCTACTTGTATTTAATTATAATAAAATTAAATATTTTATATATTTAAAATTTATTAATTTTCAATTTTTTTTTTTTTTTAATTAATACATATATTTCGCATTTTTTATCTTTTTATTTATTTTAATATTATTATTTTAGAAGAATAAAATTTTTTTAATTATTTTTAAAATATTTGTTCCTTCATTTATTTTTTGATTTTTAATTTTATAAAAAAGAATTAAATTTTCTATTATATGTATTAATTTTTTTTTTTTTCTTTAATGAAAAAAAATAAAATTATTTCATTCAAAATTATGAATAATTAAAATAATTTAAAATAAAAAAAAAAAATAGACCTTATACAATAAAAATATTTTAGTGATTTTTTTCGAAAATGGTTTGATTTCTTTAATTGATAATTTAGCAAAAAACTTAATTTAATTGACATAATTTTTCACATAAAAAGTATTTTTTTTTAATTATAAATACTATATATATGTATAAATATTTCTAAATAGAATTTAAGAAGTGAAAATCTATTAAAAAAAATAAACAATAAATCAAAATTATTAAATCAATATGGAAATGCTCTATAAAAAATAATTTATATTATATCTCAAAGATTTGAACATAGAATATCTTTCTAACCGAAAGAAAATAAAGCTATAAATTAAAAAACTTATACTTAAATATAAAATTTATTAGGTATTCCTTAAAATCATTAAAATTTAACACCTTTAAATATAATAATAATAATAATAATAATAATAATAATAATAATAATAATAATAATAATAATAATAATAAAATTAAGAAAAAGAATATATGTATAAATACGATTAATTATATATAGAATAAATAGAATATATGATTTAATTATTTGTAACTTTATATAATTTAGTATAGAATAATTTAGATATGAATTTTTAAGGTTTTGACAAAAAAAATTGGTTAAAAATTAGCGAATATATTCTTACTTTTTTTAAATCCGTATTTGAATATTAGTCTTAATAATAATAAGATTAAATTAATAATGATAAATATATTTAAAGAGTCGAAAAAACATTATTTACAGTTTAACAATTAATAGTTATTAAAATTGAAGATAGGCCTGCTTTATTAAATTTAATTTCATGTATTTTAGCTTTATCTAATTTTAATGGAAGTCAATTGTTTTTTTAAATGGAATTAGCTAATAATATGAGTTTAGTAGACTTTTGGAACTTGATTAGGATTTTTATTCTGGTGAATGCTTTTTAGATAGTATTTTTAAGTATTTTTTAGGATATAATTCTAAGGTTATCTATAAAGAAATTATATTTTTTTTGACAGTTGTTTTAAGTATGTATAATTACGGGATTACTAATATAATTTGTGAAAAATTTGGTTAGAAAATCAAAAATGCTTAAAATTTAATATAATAAATTATTGCTAAAAGTGATAAAAAAGTATTATTTATAAAAAAGAAAATTTATTTGTATTTATATATATATTTATAAATATGTATTTATATATAAATTATACATATTTCTTAAAAATAATAAAAAAGCAATAAATATCATTTGAAAAAAGAAAAGAAAATGAATATGTAATAGAATCATTATTAAATTTAAATCATTATTTAGAATATTTAATATACTGCTGCTAAAATTTTGGGTTTTCGAATATTTTTTTATATAATCATTTCGATAATGAATTAATAAAACTTCTATAATTAAATAGAGATTTAGAAATATAGGAAAAATTTTAATAAAATAAAGATATATAACATTTAATTATGTGTGTAAAAAATAATATTTTTTTATGTTTTTCATATTTAATGAATCATGAAATTGGCTATTTTCCTTAATAATAATAGGAAAATATAGATTTTAAAAATTAATTATAATTTTTAGTGGAAAATATTCCCCAAATTTCACATTAATAAGAGTTTTTTGAAATTATAAATTCAACTAACTACTTAAATATATAATAAGAATTACTTAATAAAGTTTTAATTAATAATAGTAATAGTTTATCTTAATAATAATAGGTTAATTCTAATACAAAAAAAAACGAACAAATCAATTATGAAGAACCTGATTTTGAAAATGAAAATGAATACGATGATGAAGAAATGGAAAGAAAAGTATAAAATTAATACCTACCATATAATGATCCTATTATAATATAAAAAAGTTTGGAAATTTATTAAAATTGTATGAATGTTTTAGTCTCTTCAAGTAAAAATATTGTAGGATAAATGATTATTTTATATAAAGAATATATTAATTATGCTTACAAATAAAATACGATAATTAAATTAAGTCAATTAACTAATTGTTTCCTTAATAAAATTCTAAGTTCTAAAGGTATAAGCTTTTCAGAAAATATACTCAGTTTAATTAAAATTTTTTAATCTTTTCTTTATTTTATAGTTTAGATAACTATAAATCCGTTAAATTAATAATAATTTACTTAAGAAAAGAGAAAAAATGCTATAAAAGTAAATATATATATATATAAATATATATATTATTTATAAGTATATATATATATATATTATTTTATATATATTTATTTATTTATAATATAAATTATTCTAAATAACATAAAAATATTTATACAGATGCTTATTTTTGAAGATATTAATATAATTAATGATTAATAATTAATTAATAAAGCAAACAATGAAACAGGAAAATTATTATTTTTATTATTTAATAAATTATATATAGCAACTAATAATTTCGAATAAGAAAACGAATAAAATCCTTAATTAAAAAGTCATTTAGATAATTGCAAAATAATGTTAATTTATCTCTAGAATTTCAGTAATTAAAATGAAGAAAAATAAAAAAAGAACACGATAAAAATCCAGAACTTCCAAGTAAAATAAGAAGTCCTGAGGAAATTTTCTAATTAATAAATAAATAATAATAGGAGAAAATTTAATAAATAGAAAGTGGATTTTATAAATAAGAAGGAAAAACTTTGCCTTTTATATTTAAGTTTTTGCACGAAATTACTTAAAATATATTAGTTGACGCTGAAAAATTATAGAATATGAATTCTTGGTAATAGATAAGATTTTAGCTTATATTTAGGGATTTTTATGGGTATGTGAATTCTAGATAATACTTAAAAGAATAGAATTTAAAATTCTAACATTTTTGGGATGCGGATAATAAAAAAATGTAGAAGATTTATATCAATAATAATATGAAGAAACTACTGAGTTTAAAAACATCATTAATACTTTTGGGGGAAAATGCTTCTCTAAATAAAATACTATTGAATATATTATTTTAAATGAAATGTTTTTTATATAAATTAATTTGATTATAATCCTTTATCTTATAATTATACTCAATATTCTAAATGGGAATCTGAAGTGGGGAATATAGATGAAATGTTCACTTTATAAAAAAAAAGAATATTTAAACCTTATTAAGGATAAAAGCCTTTAATAAATAATGTTGTTTTGGAAAATGTTTCTAATTAAAAATAAAATACTATTGTAAATAGTTTTGCGAATACTATTTTGAATTCTACTAATTCCGGTTAAAATAAATAAAAAAAATAAACTAATATAAGCTAAGAAAACTACAAAGAATAATTTGAACAGGAATAAATTTTCAAATAATAATAATAATAGTAATAATAATAATAATAATAATAATAATAATAAAATATACCTTTATAAAAATAATAATCATAATAATCTTAATCTTCATATAATTAGTAAAGTAATTAATAATAATAAAGTTAATAATAACCTATATAATAACAATAATAATAGTCTATATAATAATAAACAATAGTTCAATAATAAATATTTTAAAAATTCCCTAATAGTAATATCCCTTAAAATAACCCTCCTTCTACAAATACACCTTCTTAAACTTAAATCACTCCTTTTAAACAAACAGGCGTTATATAAGAAAACTTTCCAATCTAAACAAGTATTATTTAATAAAATTAAATAAGCTAAAATTAAGATCCTTTTAGGGTTGTACATAGCGAAACTATTGTTAAAGAAGGGAATATTAATTCTACTTAAATTTATTAATAACAATAATATAATGCAGTAGGTTAATAATAATAAAATTAAAGTCTTTAATATTAATAATAATAATAATAATAATAATAGATAGGTTAATAATAAAATATTTATGTTTTTCCTTAATAATAATAATAATAATAATAATAATAATAATAATAATAATAATAATAATAATAATAATAACAATAATAACAATAATAATAACAATAATATACCAGTGGTTAATAATAGTAAAATCCTTAAGTTTTTAAAGGAAGTTCATATGGTAACTTTTATTTTTATATTTTTTTTATTTTATTTTTTTATTAAAAAGTTGAATAATAATAAATTCCTATTTAACCTCCTCATTAATAAGAAATAACTCCTCCTGCATTAGCAAATCACTAATAATAAGCCTATTAATAAAATATATACAATTATTAATAAAGACCGTAATAATAATTACCTTAAAATAGACCTTAATAAATTTAATAACCAAGTATTTATAATTAAGGTATACCAAATAGATCTATTTAAATATAATAGTAATCTTTACCTCAATAATAGATGATTTAGCCTATTCCTGCCTAGGTAATTCCCCCTTATTAATAATAATAATAAGGCGCTGTAATTCCTCCTTAATAGGGATAATTTTAATAAAGTAACTAGTTTTAATTACAAAGTTAATAGATGAAGTTGACTGTGGAAATTACTCCTGAAGAAAAAGTGATATTGATTTAAAAAGTAGATGAATTAAGGTAATTAAAAAATAAAGGAGATCCGAGAACAGCAAAGAAAATTTAAGCTATTTATAATGAATATCCTAAATTAAAATTATTAATTAGTAGTTTGAGTAAATAATAGAATTAGAATTGATATATTTATTATATATTTATTTAATATATATATATATATATTTTTTTTTAAAAAAATTAAAAAAAAAAATTATTTAAATTTTTATATAAATATATTTATTATTAATATTCTATAATATATTAAAAATTATATTAATAATAATATTTTTTAATATAAATTTATTTTATTTTTATGTATATTTTTATTTATTTTTAAGGATAATTTTTTAATTTGATTTATATAAAATTTAAAACAATAATATATTTTTATTATAGTCAAAAATCTTAATAATTATCATTTTCTTCAAATTTTTAATTAATATTTGTCTTCATAATCTAACTTTAAGCTACTTTATTATCTTTACCATCTTTTAGTGATTACATATTAGCAATTAAATCTGCCCATAAAATATGCATCTTTTTATAATATATAATTATTATTTTTTTATTTTTCTTTAAAAAAAAACCTGACTAATATTATCACATTAAACTTTACCAAAATCATTAAAATGATTCGAATAATCTTAAATTTTTTCTTATATTAATCTTTTTATTTCTTTATAGGCTGAATTGTTGTAAAATCCGAATTAATCTCTTAATTCATTTTCGATTTATTATTCCTTTTGATTTTTTTGTTTATATATAAAAAAAAAGAACAAAAAAATCAAGAAATGTTTTACTTTAGGAAACATGTACTAAAACATAAAATCTTTTTTTTTAAATAATCTTTATTAAATTAATATAGAATATCATTGGGAATATCCCATTTAGTAGGATCTCCCATTTTAAAGTATTTTTCTTTTTTATAATTAAGATTTTGTTTGAAAGCTTAAAATTCTTTCTCTACATAATCTCTTTTGATTAATATCTTATTAGTTTTTTAATAATTAAATAAATAATAATTATATTACATCTTTTATTATTTATGTTTCATTGTTATAATATTTATACCAATTTGATAAATTTTCTTAAACAAATTTGATCTGATTGGTTATATTATTACTTTTTTTACAAAATAATTTTTATTATATTTTTATTAAAATAAGTGTAGTTACCCCCAAGCTACATTCAAATTGTTTAGATTAATATATAGTTCTTCTAAAAGAGGTTCCTATTTTTATTTAATTTTTTTTTTTTATTTAATAGAAAAATATAAAAAATTACTTAATTTTCATTCGAATTATTAAAAAGATAAGAAATTTAATATTATTAAGAAAAACAGTCTCCAATACTAAATAAAGTAGTTGATAATTAATCAAAATCAATAATTAATTATTTACATAATTTTCTTATTTTTTTATAAATAATATCTTAATTACTAAAAAATTCATTAGCTTTTTTTAAATATTAATTTATTTCTTAATTAATGACACATTCGGCCTTATGAATATTTTTTTATTTTTATTTATTTTAAAATAAAAATAAAATACTTTTCCGTTTATTGTTACCATATTTTAAACTTTTTATATTTTCTATAAATTTTCACCTTCTTTTTTTAGTTTTAAAAATTAGTCATCACTTGTCATTCCTAAAAATCCTTCTAAATACTTCGAACATTTTAATTCAGGTTACTTAAGTAATTTATTTAAGAAATGTTCCATAAAAGCCATTCTTTTACTCAAAAATAAAGGTTAAAAACTTCTTGTTGATTTCTTTTTAGGAATAGGAGGAATCTAAAAAAATAAAAATATGTATAATTATGTATATATAAAAATATTTAAATATATAAATATATAAATATATATATTTAATATATATTATATTTAATTTTATATTTATATATTTTTATTTTTATTTAATTATATTTTTATTTAAAATATTTTTTTTAAATAAAAAAATACACATATTGCAGGATAAGCCTTTTCTAATGTTTCTCTAAGCCAACAAAAATCATTATATCTTCTTTAAACACTCCAATTTAATTATTCTGTTTCAACATGATAAACAATATAAGATTACGAAAAAATACCACCATATTTTTTTTCATATCTAAAAAAAAATAAAATCTTTTTTTTAATAACTTTTATCTTACTTTGGAACTTTTGTATATATATTTTAGAATTAGCTTATTTTGCTTTAATTTGATGATTTTAGACAATTATATAATTGTCTATAGTTATTTTCATCTTTTTCATTTTAATTATATTAAATAGGCTTTTGATCTATACTTTATTATATTTCTTCATTATTAGGTATTTATGAAATGTACAAATTTTGTAACATTTATTATGTTTATTAAATATCAAGTTAATATTCATTATTTATAATGTTTTAGAAATTTTCAACAACCTTTTTTTTTATGTATATTTTTTTTACAAACTTAAATTTATTTATTTTTACTAATTACAGTTCATCAAATGTCCAATATTATACATCTGCGCCTAAAATTATATTGATATATATGTATGTTTATATATATATATATATATATATATATATATATATATATATATATATATATATTTATAATAATTACCATTAGGCCTTATTGCTTCTAAATATTCTTTAAACTATTAAGGATCATATCCTTTATCTAAAATATTTTCACATAAAAATTATTATTTAATTTCAATATTGTCCATAATTATTTATTATTTATATATTTTAATTTATATTTTTTTTTTTGCTTTATTTATTTAATTTTATATTTTATGATTTTTTTTGATTATTTATATTTATATATTATGATTTTGTATTTAATCAGCATTCATTTATAATATTTTAAAAGCTTTTCTTTTTACTATTTTTTTATATATAAAATAAAATAGATACTTTTAACAACAAAATCAAATTAATGGAAATAATATATTAAATTGATAAACTATAGAGTTCAATAAAAAAATTACTTAATAATTTAAAAATATAAAATTATTTAAAAGTAAATAAATATATAATAGAATTTTAAATTAAATATTTTAAAATATATATTAAATATATATATATATATATAATATATATATATATATAAATAAAAATATATATTATAAGAATAGTTCTTTAATTATTTAATTTCTATCAATAAAAATTTATATACAATTATATATAAATAATTGATTAATGATATAAAATTAATATATTCTAATTTATATATTATTAAAAATATACTTTAAAATTATAATTTGTTTAAAAATAATATAAAAAATTAATTATTAAAATAATAATAAAGATGAATATATATAATGCTTAGTATATTTTTTAGAATATTATGTTTATATTTAATATTGATTTTATTATTTATATTATTATTATATATCAATTTTTTTATATATTTTACTAAAATCTGAATATAAATTATTAATTTATATTTTTAGCAAATTATAAAATTAATATTAATTATGAATTAATATAAAAAGAAATATATATACAAATAATTAAATTATCTAATTTATTGCAAATTAATTTTTATAAATTAACAAAAAAATTAATATATTATTAATTTTTACAGTAGTATAAATTTTAAAAAGAAAATTATAATATTAAAAAAATAAATATACATGATTCCTTTACCAAATTATGAAATTAAAAGAGTTATTGGTTCAGGCTCTTTTAGGTAAAAAAAAAACTTAGAATAAAAATATTATTTTTTTATATAAAAAAAAAAAACCATAAAACCAAAAAAATATATTATAATATAATTAAAAGGATATGTTTTTGAAGCTTATGATAATACTAATTAAAGAACTGTAGCACTTAAAAGAATTTAAAAAGTTGGGAAAAAACTAAGTAGGGAATATGAAATTCTTTTGGATATAAAAGATTGTGATTATGTAGTAAAAATGCTTGTAAAATATTATATATATATATATAAAAAAAACAAAGATATAATATATTTCTTTATCTATAATATTTTTTTATTTAATAATAATAATATAATAAAAAAGGACTTATATTATTCAAAAACAGAAGATAATAAATTAATATAAAATATTGTATTTGAATATATGGAAAGTAATTTGGAAGATTTTATTTCAAAACATAATAAAAACAAGAAATAAATTCCGGAAAAAACTATCTAAGAATATGCTTACTAAATTTTGAAAGGACTAGAATATATTCATTCTAAAGGAATTGCACATCGTGATTTAAAACCGTAAAAAAAATTTGTTTATATATTAATAATTTGTTTATAAAAATAATTCATATAAGTGATAATGTATTAATTAATGATAATGGAATAGTAAAAATTTGTGATTTTGGCGGTTCTAAATATATAGATGAAAGAGGAAAAAATACTCCTTATATTGTTTCTAGATATTATAGAGCGCCAGAATTAATTTTATGTATAACTAAATACACATAAAAAATAGATATGTGGTGTAATTTTATATAAATATTATTTTTATAAAAAATATAATTGTAAAAAAAAATATATACATGTTTTTTTTTTTTTTTTTTAAAAAAAAAAAAATAATAAAAAAATATGAATTTATATTATTTATTATAAGTTTATTTTTATTATAAAAAAAAAGCTTTTGGATGTATTTTAGGTGAATTAGCTACTAGTATTCCTATATTTTAAGGAAAAACTGAAGGGGATTAATTATTTGCAATTTTTAAAATTTTAGGTTCTCCTAGTAAGGAAGAATTTGATAAAATTGCAGAGAGAGTTCCTTATGATAAAAAAATATTTTAAGAATTCTAGACTTATGAAAAGTAAGATATTTCTTTGAACTTCTAGCATTTAAAAGAAAGTGAATAGTTTTTAGATTTATTGAAAAAATGCTTATAATATTTACCAGAAAATAGAATTTCAGCTAGTGAAGCTTTAAAACATCCTTTTTTTGAGGGATTAGAAGAAAAATATCCTTGATATTTTTTTTTTATATATATATTTCTATTGTATTTTTTTATTTTTTCTAATTACTAAGTTTTTTTTGTTATAATTAATTAATATTACGATAAAAAGAGAGGAAAAAAATAAAATAAAAAATTTAATTTATTAATATATATATATATTTATTTGTAAAAATATTATATTATAATTAAATATATTTATTTATTTAAAAAAAAAATATTTAAAAATTTAATTTTAAATATTTCTTAATTAAAAATATATTATTTTTGTTTTATATATAAAAAAATAAAATAAAATAAAAAAATTAATTATGTTTTGTATTATATTTATATAACTATCTTGATAACAAAAATCATGGGGGGAAAATAAAATTATATTAAAATCATCAAATATAAAATTAAATAAATAAATATTATTATATCTAAAAAATATAAATATAATAATAAATAGAATGTAAAAAAATTAAATTAATATGAGATTTAAATTAAAAAGAAGAAGAAAATAAAATAAAAAACTATTATACTAAATCATAGATAGATAGATAGATAGATATTAAAAATAATAATAATAAAATTCGCTTTATAATCTATAATATAACTCTAAATAAAATATGTATTCAAATATATTTAATATAAACAAAAATATTTAAGAAATTATATATATATACATTGATTTGAAAAAAAAATTAATGAAAAATAATATTATGTAATTTAAATAAAAAATATAATATATTTTTGAAATAAACTAATTATATATATTAATATAATTTATTAAGACTGAAAATTTTCAAAATTAAGGTATTATTTTTAAGATTTAAAAGCAAAATCAAATGTTTCTATATTTATAATAGATATTTTAAAAGAGAAGATTATTTAATTAATTTTATAAAAAATAGTAAGTATTATTTTGATAAATTAGAAAATAAAAAAAAGTTCATTATTAATTTTTTATTTTATTTAAAGGAATGTAAAAAATACATATTTTTTTTATTTTATTGTTTTTAAAAAAAAGAAAATAATTTAAATAAACTTTAGTTTTAAAAAAGTAAATTATAATAAATAATTGAAATATGATAAAAATTATAAAAAAAATGCTGAATAAATATATATTAATATAAAAATAATAATAATAAGCTTATGATATTAATAATAATAATAATTATATTAAGAAATTACGAAAAAATATATCTTAATTATTAAAAAAAAAAGTATTAATAAAATTCATAATAATTATAAAATAAATAATAATATTAAATATTTTAGTATAAATAATATTTGTTTTATGATAAAATTAAAAAAATTAGTAAAAAATAGTTAAACTTATAGAAACTCCTAATTTAAATAAATATTTGATATTAAAGTTTAACTTAACATGAAATATTATTAATTAGAATTATAAAAAACATAATACTGTATTATATTTAAGATATAATGAGAAATATATTAAATAATTATAAAAAACAAAAATAGAATAAAATAATAATTAAATATATTAATCTAATATTATAAAATATTTATAATAATAATTAAAACAGTGAATTTTGATATAAATAATTATTATCTTATTAATTGCTTATATAGTAATATTTAAGAATAAATAAAGTATATATATAATTTTTTTCTTTTAAAAGTTATAATTTGTATTTTATTAAATAATTTTAAAATTTATGTTTTTTTTTTTTTTTTTTATAAATTTTTATTATATAAATTAATATATATTTTTTTTTTCTATAATATATATAAAATATTTTTTAAATTAAAATTATATTTAAAATAAGTAAAATATAAAAAATATAACGAAAAGAATATATATTTATGGGTTGCTGTTATACATAACCAATTTAAACTAATGATTATCTTGTAGATAACCCAAATAAAACTTTGGAAGTATTATCAATAATTTATTTATTTTTCTATAGACATATATTCATTTTTTATGTTTAGGTTAATAAAAAATCTGGTTCAGATATGATATCTAGTGTCCCTATTGTATATATTTATTTCATTTAAAATATAATAAAATATTTAAATTTATATTAAACAGATTGATTAAGAATAAAATGAATAATAAGATAATAATTAGGAACTTATGGAAGTATAAATATTTATATACTAAATTAATTTGTTTTTTTATTTAAATATTAAATAATATTAAGATGTCTATAACAACAAATGATAGTTTTAAATAATAATAAGAGATTATATAAATTATTGAATAAATGATTAAGTAATATAAATATATATCTATATATTTAATTATATAAAATATAAAAGGAATAATTAACTTTTTATGGAAAATTGATTTTTTTTTTTTTAATATAAGAATAAAGTATTTTTGTAATTTTTTTATTTATTTATATATATTTTATGTTGTTTTAGTTTTTTTTTTATAGTTTTTTTTTTAAAAAAAAATAATTTTTTTATGATGTTTATTTAATTTTATGGTTGAAATTATATATTGATTATATTAAAAATATTTAATAAAAAATTTATTCAATTTTTATATTCTTTTTTATTTTTAAAATATTAAAAAACTCTTATTATTTTTATTTTTGAATAAAATTTATTAAAGATATAATACATAATAAATTTATATTTATTTTATTTCAAATTTATTAATAGTTATTTAATATAATATTTTAAAATTATTATCAAAATATGTTTATTATTATATATTATTTAATATAAAAAACAAAATATTAATTTTTTTATCAATAAAAAAAAAATATAATAATTTTAAAATTTGACCATACAAATTTCAACAATAGAAAATTATGAATAATTTATGATTTATGATACGAAAAATTATAATATTAATATATATAATTTAACATATAAAAAAAGAATATATAAATATATATATATATATATATATATATTTATATATAAATTAGCAAAATAAAAAATGTTATTAACTGAATAAATCAAAAACTAATCAATTTTTGCATTAGAAATTGAAAATATAAACGAAAACAGCATCTTAAGTATAAAAGAATAAATAAAATCCTAAATATTATAAGGAAATTACCAAAATGCATTAATATATTGTAATGAACAATTAGAATAAATAAGGAAAAAAACTAAAAAAAAAAGCTAATAAATTTAATAAATTTAAGATTATTAAGGAGAACTACTTTATATTTTTGGAGAATATAAAAAGGCACTATAAATATTTTAAGATTCTTAGTAATTTACTGAAAAATATTAATATATAAATGATTCTAATTATTATTTTAAATTTGATTTAATAGGTTTTTATATATAAATATATATATATATATATATATATATATATATATTTATATATAAATTTATAATTATTTATATATATATTAAACCTTAATTCATAACATAATATTTTTTAAAAAACAAAGGAAAATGTTTTAATAAGCTTGGTCAAATAGATAAAGCAATTTATTATTTTTAAAAAGCTTTAAGTTTTAAAAATTATTTACACGGATAATTTGAATCCAATATTTTATTTGGTTAAATATATCTTGAAAAAGCAGAATTTGAAAAGGCTTTATAATTTTCAGAAAAAAATTTATTTAATAAAAAATAAAATGATATTCTTTTGTTATCAGAAAGTCATTTTTTAAAATCTTAAGCCTTAAAAGGCTTAGGTAAGCTTAATGAAGCATTTATTTCAGGATAATAAGCTTTAAAATTAATAAAAATGAAAATATAATGCCAAAATCATCATTTAATAGCCAATTATTTAGAGAATTTAGGTACAATTTGTTTATAATAACATAAATTTTAAGAAAGTTTGAATTTTTTTAATTCAGTTTAATAGATAAGGGAATATTTATTCAACGATTATAATTAGCACCCTTAAATAGGTGATATTTATTTTTACTTAGGAGTTTGTTATAATAAAATGTCAAATAATTAAAAATCTTTAGAATTTTTATAAAAATCATTAAAAATAAAAACATGTTTAAAAAATATATATATATTTTGTAATTTTATTAAAAAAAATAAAAAATAAATAAAGGTTAATAAAATTTTTAAGAAATAGCAAATTGTTTAAATTATTTAGGTATTGTTAGAAATGAAATGCAAAACTACTTAGAAAGCTTAAAATGTTATAAAGAAGAATATAAAAATCGCAAAAAAATAAAAGAAGAAGGACCATAAATAGCACATTTATTATTTGAAATAGGATAAGTTTATAAAAACTTAGAAAATTTAGAATAATCATTAAAATATCATTTTAAATCTATTTTTGTTAAATATAAATTCTATTCATAAGATTCTGAGGAAGTACTATTAAGTTTATCTAGCATTGCTAGCATAATGTATGATTAAGAAAATTATGAAGAGGCAATTATATATTATAAAAAAGAATTATAAATTAAGGAAAAATTAAATACTAATTAATGTATTAAAGTAAATTATATATAAAAATATATAAATAAATATATATATATATATATATATATATATATATATATATATATATATATAAAAAAAAATTATATATAGGTAGCTATAACTTATAATAACATAGGATGTTCTTATAAAAATATAAATAAACTACCTGAAGCTATCGAATATCATAAAAAAGCACTAGATTTAAGAAAAAAATTATTAAAAGAAACTGATTTAGATATTATAAGTTCAATTGAAAGTATATCTTCTACATATTATGATATGTGTTAATATTAAGATGCTTTAAAAAATTATTAAGATGAATTAAATTTGAAAAAAAAAGGTATAAATTTTATATGCATATTTTTAAAGATTAATAGTTATATGATATTAATATATTTTAAATTTATCATTAATATAAATTTAAAATATTAATTATTTTTTAATATATTGATTTTTTGTTCAAATTTTTGTAAGAAATTTAAATTTTTTTTTAATATTAGTTTTTGGTATTTAGAGTATAAAAGTAGCTACTACTTACAATAATATTGCTTGTACTTTAAAAAATTTAGGTCAAATTGAAGAGTCTTTAAAAATGCATAAATATTCTTTATAAATAAAATAAAAATTGTTAGGAAATGATCATCTAGATGTTTCTACTTCATTAGATAATATAGCTTCTATTATTTATGACCAGGGAAATTACGAGTAGTCTTTAATATTATATAATGAGGTTTTGAGAATTAGAAGAATCAATTATAAAGAAGATAATTTATAAATTGCAATAACTTTACATAATTTGGCTTGTGGTTTGCATAATATGAAAAAATATGAAGAAGCTTTAATTTTATAAAAATAAGTTTTGGAAATCAGGAAAAAATATTAAGGACCATAGTCTAAAGATATTATAACTTCTCTTGATAATATAGCCTCAAATTTATATGATAGTGGAGAATATGAAGAGGCTATATAATACTATGAAGAAGAACTTTCGTTAATGGAGATTTTGGAACCTGAAAATAAAGCGAGATAGGCTACCACTTTAAATAATATTGCGTGTACTTTACATAATTTAAAAAGACTTAAATAATCATTCGAATATCATAATAGGGCTTTGAATATTAGAAAATAGTACTTGGGTTAAAACCATCCCGAAACTGTTTCTTCGTTAAATAATATAGGGTCTAATCTTTTTAATGTCGGAAAACTTGATGAAGCATTGGAAATGTTTATAAATGTATTAAATATTAGGAAAAGTTAAGAAAATGGATGTAAATTTAAACTTGTAAATGCATATGATAATGTTGGTTCTACATATTTTTCATTACTGTAATTTGAAAAGGCTCTCGAATATTTCTAAGAAGGTGTTAGTTTAAGGATTTTTTACGAAATTAAGGACTAAGGTAACTCACTGGAAATGATATAGGCAACAAGATAAATGATTTTGTAGTCTTAGCCTATTAAATAATTGTAATAAAAAAAGTATATTAAAATAAAAGAAGGATAAATAGAAGATATTTAATGTAATATTTGTCTTGAAGATATTTAAGATTAGTAAGATATTAGAGTACTTGAATGTGGACATTTCTTTCATTTGTTTTGTGTAGATAAATGGTTATTATAGAAAAGAAGTTGCCCAAGTTGTAGGTAATGTCCTTTTTTATAAAGTAATTAAAGTTAATAAAAATTTAGTTGAAAAAAATTATAATTTTATTTATTTATTTGCTAATTAATTTATTTATTAATTTTATATATATATTTTTAATTAACAGTATTCTTTTTATATATATCAATTTTTATATTTTTTTTAATTGTTTTTTTTTTAATAGAAAATAAATTCATTTTTAAAATAATTTATATCTTTGTTAATTTTTAAGTCCAAACTAAAAATAATTATTAATTGTAATGTTTATTATTATAATGTTTATATTTTAATTATTCCTATTTATTATTTTATGTATTATTTTTTAAAGGCTTATTATTTATTTTATTTCTTAAGATAAATATATATATATTTAATTATATATAATAATATAATTACTATATATATTATTTTTATATATAATAATTATATTATTTTAATTTATTTTTTTATCTTTTTCTACTTTATTTAAATTAGATATTACTTTCATATTAATTTTTTTTATAATTTTTTCTTATTTATATTTATGCACTTATATTTTTAAATGATTTTCTAAATATTTTTAATTAATTAATATTTACTTTAATATATTATTTTATTAATTTTTTATTTAGTTTTTATTAAATATTAGAATATTTTTTATTTTTTATTTATACTATTAATTTCATGTTTTATTTTAGTAATTGTTTTATTTTTTAAGAATTAAAGAAGATTAATTTTATTTTTATAAATATTTATAAATTTTTATTTTATAATAAATAGAAATAATAAAAACTATACTTAAAAAAAACACATACATAAATTAAATATATTATAATAAAAAAGCAGTTTAAAAAATTTATATAAATGGGAAGTATAAAAGATACATAATCAGACAGAGATTTAGATTTTTTTGATTAAAAAGAAGCATTTTCAATAAATAAAATACTATAATCTACTCAATTATATTAATAATCAAATAACTATTAATATTTATGTTAAAATTTTAAAGATTCACATTTAGTAGTAAATAATGTGATTTAAAAAATATTTTAAAAAATCGACTTATAATTATACGAGAAATATTTACAATAAAAAAAAGACTCGCATGCTTTAATTTGTATATTTAAAATATTAGAAAATTTTTTTAATGAAGGATATTTATAATATGATAATTAAAATAATTAAGATATAAATATTAATAATAGAGAAGATATAGAACCTATAAAAAGTGAGAGCGAAAATTGGCTTAGAACTCATATTTAAATTGAAAAAAATATTGAAAATCAAGAAGTTATATTTGATAAGATAATAATAGGGGGTTATTCTGAAAGATCTTCTATATAAGGAAGAATAAGGAATCATTTTTAAAAATAAATATAAAAAAAAACGAAGATTAATTCAAAATTATAAATATATAAATAGAAGAAGAAGAAGATGAGTTTATAGATAGATTAAGGTTATTGAAAATTCAAGAAATTAAGAGAAAATAAGATAAAGAGGAAAATGAGAAAAAAAAAATATAAAAATTACCTAATAATGAAAATAAAAAAGAATAAAAAAATCAAAAGTTAACGTATGATTATGATGGAAATACAATTAATGTCAAAAATATTAAATTAGAAAAATTACCGCCATCAGTTTATTCTATAAAGTAATATATAAATAAAAATATATGCTATATATATTTATATATTTATATATTTATTTATATAAAAATAAATTAAATTTTATATATAGATATGAATTTACTAATTAATAATTTTAGGATTTAGATAAAAAAAATAAATAATTTTTATAAACAACAAAAACTTTTTTAAAAAATTAATAATAAGAAATAAAAACTAATGTTAGATATTCCATTTCTAATTTAGGTTAGGGTGATTTAAAAGGGATTAAAAGTCCATTTTGTTTTGAAGATTTTAAACCGAATTTAGGAGTTACTTTATATTAAGATTAAAAAAGTAAGTAAGGAGGTAAAATACATGAATTAATAGAAAATAAAGAAATTTTAGAACAAAAACTAAGAATGGGTCTTGGAAATATTGTTTAGATTACAAAAAGTGACTATATGAGATTTACGGAAAATGGTAATTTAAATCTAAATAAAAAACTTGAAAATTTAAGCCAATTAAATATTAAAAAAAGTGGGTTAGTATCATCATTAGATAGTCTTAAAAAAAATAAAGAAACAAGCCATTTAAATGATGCTTCTCTTATTAAATTTAACTAGAAATAAAATAGTGAACAAGACGATTTAAATATTAAAAAAATGAAAAATTAATCTTCTAAAATTAAAGTTTAAAATCAAGAGTAATTAATGCATAAATTACTAGCTTTAGATGAAAATAATATCGAAAACAATAAATAATTACTACCTATAATTAATTAATAATCATTGAAAATTAATAAAAGTCCGCTAGATGATTTTAATATACTAATTCTTAAAAATAATGAATGGGGAAAAAATACTAAAAATATAAAAAATTAAGCACCTATAGAACTAGTAAAAGGTGGTAAATATAAAGAAAAAAACTTCAGAAATACACTTTAGTAAATTTATAAGTATCCAAGAGAAAGAGATAATTAAAAAATACATAATTCAGAAGATTAAAGAGGAAATTTTTATACAACTAATTCTAAATTTTAAGAGACATTAAGAAATTTTAAATGATTTTTTTATCTTTTATTTATTTTTTAAAAATAAAGTGTTTTATATATATATATATATATATATATATATATATATATATATATATATATATATAAAAATAAATTTATTTAAAAAAAAAAAATGTCAATTTAATTAAATAATAGCTTTGTTTTATTAAAAAAGGAAATTGCTAATACTGAAAATATTTTATATTAATAAATAATTAAAGTATATTATTTTATTTTTTTTAAAGAAAAAAAAACTAAGTTTAAAAATCAAAAATAAAAATATTAGGAAGTTAATGAAGAAAAAATAGCTGAATTATCAATAAAATTAAGTAAAGATTATTTATAAATAGCATAGAAATGTATATTTATGTGCAATTTATCTTTAGCGGAAAAATATATGATTTTATCCTTGCAATATACAGAACCTAAAATTGAAAAAAGTGTATATAATGGCAAGTTCAATCATTAAAAAATTGTTTGTGTGAATAATTTATACTTATTATTTAAAAAATTGAATAAATAGAAAACTTTAGTAAATTTAATGCAAAATATAATCTCGGAAGAAATATAAATGACAGAAATGGTGTAAAATATTGAAAACATATCATATAATTTGCTTGAAATTCATATGAATAATCACTAATATTTAAACGCGATTTAATAAGCGAAAACAACGTTGAGAATACTAGATAATATATATGAAAATTAAGAAAAAAATTAGAATTAAAGCCAATAAATTGCAAATAGTAATAACATATAAATTAAATAAAAAATAATGAAAATACATTGTATTCATTTAATTGCGAAATGTTTAAATCAAATAAATATGAAAACCGAATCTTTAAAATACCATTAGATGGCTTTTTTATTTTGTAAAAAATATTTCAAATAAGAAAATAAACTTACTCAACAATATAAATTAATTTATGAATAATTTAAATAAAAAGTAAATTTTAATTTCAATTTAGATTTATCAGTATCCTACAATACTTTTAAAAAAGAAGCAATTAATATTTCATAAATTCCTAATATTGTAAGTACTTTATAAAAATCGTAAAATAGTATATAATAATAATAATAATAATAATAATAATAATAATAATAATAAATAATAATAATTATAATAAAAATATTTATATTTATAATAATAATCATAATTGTAAAGTTTATAATAATATGATGCTAACAAAAAAATAAAGGTTTAGTCTGTTAGAAATATTAAATATCATAAACATAATCAAAATAATTAATCATAAAAGAATAATTTTAATCTTTTGAAGACTTTATTGGTAACTCCTACTAATTATCCTTTTTATTAATAGTAAAATCAAGAATCAAAAATTAGTAAAATTAAAAAATACTCATAGCATTAATAAATTAATGATATTTTGAAGGGCTAAGCATTTAATTTAAATAGATCTATTTTTGATGCTAATAGTATGATGCTCAAAAGACCTACTGTGAAGTCCTTTAAAAATTTGGAAGTAAATGAAGTTAAAGAAAAGACAATTGAAGGGGGTTTTTTATAAGAAAATTTAGAAAAAACTAAAGAAAATTCGGATAAAAATGAATCATTTTAATCTATAGAAGATGAAATATTTATTGATTATGAAGATTTAGATAAAATTATTCATTTTTAATAAAATAAAATTAATAATTAATAATCAAAAAATAAAGATACAATTAAATAATCATTACAAGATTTTGAAAATTTAAAATAAAATAAAAATGAAAATATTAATAATTAAATTAAATTAATAAAAAGTAAAAATAATAAAAATATATATATATATATATATATTTATTTATATATATATATTATTTATTCATTTATAGTTTTATTTAATTTTTTTATCTTTTTATTTTTTTCAAATAATTTATATAAGCTTTATTTTTTTCTTATTATTTTTTTTAGCTTTTGAAATTCAAAAAATGAGAAATGAGAAAGCAGCGATTTTAATTTAAAGGTTTTTTAGAGAATGGCTTATATAAAAAAAAATAAAAAATATAAAAAGAAAATTTATAGAAAAATGTTAGTTAATGTAAAATTCTTTTATATATATATATTGTCCTATTCATTTTTTAAATATAGCTGATTAAAAAATACATGATTTAATTAAAATTAATTATGTAAAGAAA